ATAGACAACCAAAAGTTGTACGTGTGGCTAGTTGTACCCTCATCATAATTGTAAATGTTGTTAATTATCTAATAAAATGGTTAACAAAACTGGGAATAAAAAATAATACAAAAATTAAATCAAAACCCATACTAAAAACAGAAAAAGAATGGTTCGATCTAATGGAATCAAATAATAATGAGCCTAGTAATCTAGATCCTCAAGCTTATCATTTTCTAGATTTGGATATAGAAGTGCTTTGGCCAGTTTCATTTCCAGATAATAAAGAGTATTGTGAAGTATGGCAAAATGGCATTTAGTATGCAAAAGATATATTTAAAGTAAATGGAGCTAAATATGCATTCTCAACCTGGTTTACAGAAATTGAAAAGCTAAATTTTGAGGCCAGAATGACTGAAAAGCGAGCACAAAGAATATTAAATACAATTGATAATTTTGAGTATTTAATAAGAGTAAAATTCATTCGAGACGATACAGTAATATTAGTTAAAAAAACAAAAAAAGGCTTTAAAATTATTGACAAATATGAGTCTATTCATGAATCAAAAAAAGCAGGTGGTAAATATGTCCGGATGGTCCAAATATTATACTTACAAAGAAAACAAGACTGGGCTTTTGGCTAGGAATAGATGAAAAATTTCAGGTTAGAGAAGTCAGTGTACAATTTGATGTAGAAAGACTTAATAGTAATGCAGTAGTCTATGGATTATATTGAATCCAAAAGCCAGACATCAATCGATTAATATCTATAAAAGATAGAGCACTTAATTGTATAGCTGAACAAGTAATAGAGCATTTTGATCAAGCTAAAAAAGGACATGGACTCACAGAAATTCGTTGGCAAAAAATAAATGATTGGGAGAAAAAAATATGCATTCCAGGTGCTTGAGTACAAGATATAGCAAAGTTAGAAAAAATTCTTAAGCGACCAATTACATTACTGGATATCACTCATGGCACTATCTTTAATAGCAAAAAATATCGATCAGGTAAGTATAAAGAAATAGAAATAGTAGTTCATAATGGCCATGTATTTCCTCAAATCTAGCATTTTTTAAGAGACTGAATGGTCAAATATTATAAGAAAGATACTTGGAAAGCTATTAATAATGCTCTTCAAGGTTTTCAAGCAATTTGGCTTATGGGAGTAAAAGATAAAACCCAAACAATATCCCAGTTTGTTATGGAAGATAGCCATATATTTAGAACATGGAAAAAGCATACAGAAATTATAGAAGCATGCAAACAATTGGTTAATAATACAATAGATTGGCAATTTCAGGAAGGAATAATCAATGAGGAAAAGAAATCGATTCTTTCAGAGTCTCTCAAAGTGGTTGACTTAGTAGAACAGGTTTTTGGTGCAAACTATACTGGAAGCTGACTTGTCAATGAAATCAATAAATAGCATCCAATATCTGAAAAAATAAATGACGTTATAAGACAAGCTTGTATCGAGCATAGGCATGGTGAATGCTGGAATGCACCTAGTTATCACATTAATGATATCATATGTATTGATATGAAAGAATGCTATCTAGCAAGTATGCGAGGCCAAGGAGAATGTGTACCATGGTTTAATCGATTTGGGTATCCAACACATCATCTTGTCCAAGTTGCAGTAAATAGAAAATTGCCCCAAGATAGTATTACTGGATTTGCACAGGTAAATTTCTTTAAGTTCACTTCTAACATACATCCAGTAATCCCAGTTTTGTATGGAAAACATTTTGCATGTCATAGTGAAGAAAGATGCATAAAAAATAAAGAATAAGCTCTAATAGTATTGTTACAATATCTTCTTGAAACTGGTATTTTAGAAGACTTAACTATTGGGGAAGCAATTATCTCTCTTACACGGCAGACTAAAGTATGGTTACTAAAAAATCGAAATGTAGTTGTGCAATTATAGGTAAGTTTATACAGGGCAGAAAAAATGAAGAAAAACGACTTATCTATCATCTTGTAATAGATGAAAATGAACTTAATTTCTTAATAAAAGATTGTACAGATGCTAGAACTTTTGCTAGAAGAGAAAGATGCCCACTTGGATTTATACTTATATATTTTGAGGGTCATCAGCCTCAGTATACACATTTGTGGGCTTCAATATTAGCATATGCATATATTAATTTGTTAGAGATGCTTTGGAGATTTGATCCTAATAAAGTAGTAAGGATTGCTACAGATTCTATATATGTACAAAAAGAGGCTTTATATAAGATCAAAAATATACCAGTATTCTTCAAGCAAGTTGAGGTAAAGTCAGATCTAAATTTATGTTCACACTATTCTTCTTGTACAATATGTAGCAATCCAGAAAAATTTCTTGCAGATTTTGCTTTGGGAAATGGTTTTATAAATCAGATTCTTGTCAGAAGCAGTTAAATCAGCAAGAAGAACAAGAAGTTCAAAACATTCAACCTAGTCAATGGCATGATAAGGGTGAAAAAATATATAGACCAGTTGCTGATATTGTATACTGGCCAAAGAATAGGCATTGGGAATCGATCAAAGATATTTCAGATAGTACGGCTCCATCAATTCATGATCCTATTACGTGATATCGAAATTCATATCTCAATAGAGAAGGTGGATCTAGTAAAATGACACGAGCTATTAAAATTTTTAAAGACATAAACATGGTTGTTTTCACTCATACAAATGCATTGGCCAAAGACTTCCAAAATGACTATAAGGTAAAAGCCCAAACTTGGCGTAGTTTCTTTAGATGGAATGATATAGAAGAGTGGACTCCTGAATATATGGGAGAAAAAAAATTTCTGTGAGTTGTTATATAGGATGAAGTATATACAGTGCCTAAACACATTTTAGAAAAGTTTATTGATTATTTACTAGAGCAAAAATGTTAGATAATTTGTTGCGGTGATGATGCCCAGCCTCTACCATTCTTTGGAAAAATGCCCCATAGCTGGTTAAAAAAATGAGCTGATTACTATGAGGAAGTCTTGACTGATTATCAGGCCAAATGTTCTAAATTATGTAAACTCAAAAAGGAAATACATCATAAAAATAATCGAGTATAATCAGAATTATTTTGTAGAGCAATTCTAGTTATAGAAAAATAGAAATATCTTGAAAAGAAATGGTCTTCCTCAGATCGAATTCTATCAGCATATCGACTTTCTCGAAGACTTGTATTACAAATATATCTCAAGCTTCATTGTACAAAATATTCCAAAATTCCAATCCCATTAATTTATAGGCCAAAAGATGGGCGCAAACAAAATTGTCTTGTTCTGATTCCTGGCTTATCCAAAAAAAAGTAAGCTAGTGAAAAATGATATAATATACTTACCCTTAAATACACTTCCTGATAAATTCTTACAAGGCATGTTAGGAAAAGAAAAGGCTATAGATTGGGAACTTGGATATGCAATGACCATTCATACCAGTCAAGGAACGACTCTCAAAGCTCCACAACGAGTTTGGGTTATCGATGAACATTTGGCGTGAGATAATCTAATTTATCTTGCAGTTGGTCGTGTAGAATATTTGGGCCAACTTATTCGAATTGAAGGTCCCCCATTACCTCCTGAGATTAAAGATGCAAAAAATAAGAAAGCAATTGAGCGATCCTTAAGACTATTTATTTCTGGAAAACTCGTAGGATATATGGATCAAGATAAGAAAAAAGGTCGTGAATTTAACTTATCTGTTGATTATATCCTCGTATTAAAAGATTCGCAAAAAAATAAATGTAAATTATGTCTCAATGAATTGTTATGGGATTGGGACGAAGCTGGAAATCCAGACCAATGGACAGTAGATAGAATTAATAATGAATTGGGACATATTAAAGGAAATGTACAGCTTACTTGTTTAGAATGCAATCAGAATCATCGAGTCTAGCCCACTCAATGTGCCAAATGAAAATATTAACATTTTCTATAATAAATTTTTTTCTTAATAAGAATAAATATCCAATTCAAAATTCCAGAGAAATAAATATCTCACTAAATTGTTCTACTTAATGTATAAATCTATTTTTTATAATTGATAATAAATAAATATAACAATTAAATAAAAAAATCTTAGTTAATAAAATCCATACGTTTCGAAATATAAACATGCCCAATATTCAAGATATTGTTAAAGAATGGACAAAAAATAATTATACCCAATATATGTTAACCAAATATGGTTTAAACTATATCAATAATTTAAAAACACCAGAAGCTTGGTTACGATTTGCGAAGTATCGTCCACCCAAATATATATGTGAACGTTTATTTATTCCTGGATATGAAATTAATAGGAAGAATCATTGGGAAAACTTCGTATTCCATATCAAAAATAATTTGACCAGCTATAGGCAAATAGATAATGACCCCAAATACAGAGATTTTAAAGATCAACTAGCATATTTTAAAACTTTGTATATAAAAAATCGATCAGCAACTATCATCCAGCAAGCAGTAATTAAATAGCTTTATCGAGTTGATGGACCATTTATGAAAGATGCTCAAGATCAGATGCTAATAAACTTGAGAATTAATAGTAGATCGAGTGATCCTGGTTTTTTGTCCAAATCGAATTATCATTGCTTTATTCATTCAGTTAAGAAAATTACTAATTTGTAAATTATCGTGATTGCTAGTAGATCGAGTGATTCACATTCATACTAATTAATTCGTGAATGAACATATCGCCAAATCCGAAATTAGTTTTCATAAATCTGTCAATTGAATTTTTTTGAAATTATGAAAATAACTGCACTAATCTTTTGTGTTACTTCCGAGATGAGCAGTCCTGATATAATACTTGATATAGAGAAAATAGGTTGGTAATTGCTTCTAAAATAGAACCGAATATGTCTTTTCATGAAGTATTTAATGATAAATGTAAGCGTGTTCACAAATCTTGAGATCCCACTCTGAAAAATGGAAAATATTATAAACTTAGTAATTAATGCTCTATCAAGATTGTTGTTAGCAAAAGTTTCTTCTTCTCAAATAACAATAGAAGATGCTATTGGAAATGTATCCAAGGCCTCTTTATTCCGTTGGTCTGTTAATAAAAACTCGGATGAGATTATGCAACAGACTGTTCAAGATTCAGACCTAATAATGCATCTATTAAAGCCTCACCCTAGTTTATATCATTCGCATGAAAACTCTAAAAGGGTTGGATACAAAAATCATACCAATATCTCTAAATTGAAAAAGAGAAAAAGAGATGTTAGTCCTTATAATATAAAGAAAAATTCAAGAAAGCATATAAAGAAAAATTCAAGAAAGCGTATAAAAAAACACTCCTCAAATTCTAATAATGTAATGAGTGGCCTAGATTCTCAATATGTCAAGCAAAGTATATGAATGCATTCATACAATATAAGCATCCTTTAGGCTTAAATCAAAATATGTCGTATATATCACTGGTATCTGATACCAAAACACAATTATGTCTAACTTGTAGATTCGAATCTATTTTTTTTACGAATGAATGTCGGTTTTTTTTGATGTATTAGCCATATTAGATCTAGTAATGTATTAGTTACCATAATAAAGGAAACTAATTCATTTTATTTTTTATCTATACCTGGTTAATTGTATACTAATTAGATTGAAACAAGAAATTTTCAATATAATGTAGGTGCCGAGACTTCGACTTTTCAGAAATAATTTATAAATGGACTGATCGACAAATCCGAAATTGGTTTTGTTAGTATGAAATAAATATTATATAAAAATAATCTAAGTATAAGGAAATTTTGTTTGTAAAGCTTATCCGGGTCTACTTGATCTAATGCCTCTCTCTGACCTTCGAACCTTTGCATATAGCATTTTAAAAAATCTTAATGATGAAATCGTCAGAGATAAAGAATTTACGGAGCTTGATACATGCTCAGAATGTGATAAAAAAATTCTTATACACAACTACGAACCATTGACAATCCTCTCATGTGGTCATGTATACCACAGATATTGTGTTGAAAAATTTTTACTTACGAAAGAAAATAAATGCCCTAGTTGTGATAAGGTCATTGAGCCTAAAATATCGTTAGAAACACCAATTAATTCTCCCAATCTTAGTAGTAAAAAGCGGGGTAGTGATTCTACAGAAAAATTCTCTAGTAAAAAAATTAAGCCAGTTAATAGGGATAGTTCACCAACTTTAAAAAAGTTAATTAAAGAATTGACTACTCCAATTGCCAGGCAAATTTCATCAGAAAACATTATTATTTTGCAGTCAGATATTTCTGAAATGAACATAGATTCAGTTAATTTTCATGAATTAAATGAAAAGATTATCAAAGCTGAAGATAATAATCAAAAAACCAATCAAGACATAATACGTTCATACTATTATTTCGGAAAAGGATATAATTTATGGTATGATTTTTACAGGCAATCTAATAATGAGGACGCGTCTAATGCTTTAGTTAATGATAAAATCCGAGAGCATATTCCTGATCAAGATAAAATTACTGAGACTAACCTTCGAAAAAGAAAAGAAAGGGCTAAAAAAGTTTTCAAACTTTTCAATAGTATTGGCGGTGAAAAAATAATAGATCGTGTTAAATCTTTTTTTGCATCAAATACAGTCAGACCTCTCTATAGTCACCTCCTATATAAGCACATTTTCTTTATAAGCATATTTTTTAAAAAACAAACTATTATTGAATATAATAAATTTGACCTCTATAACTGTCACACTTCTCTACAAACACACATTTTCGTATCCCAAGTGTGTGATTATAGAGAGGTTTGACTGTATTTCAAATCTAAGTCTAGACGATATTGATTATGTAATAGCAAAGGTTTTAAAAGCATCTGATTAAAAATAAATTACTGCGCCACTGTGACAACCGATGTCACACCTCTTCAGGCGTAAATAATAAAGTTTTTATTTTTTGTTTTTTCGATAATTTGACTATATACAAAAATATTCATTAACGCACAAAGTGCAGGTTTGATAAAAAATTAGCCACATAAATATTATTTTTTTCCCGTTAATATATAACAATGAAAGAACGTAGTTCACTTACAAATAAAAATTATATCGAAAAGTGGCATATCTTTAGAGGGTGTAACATTTGTGACGAATGCAATCACCATTCTCACCTATATTGCAAAACATGCAAAAAAGTAGCGAATGGAATATATAAGCGGTGTGAATGCGATAACGTGTTAGAATAAATTTCGCATACATATAAATTTATCTGTATCACCTTCGTTATGCATAACTTATTTGTGAGACGGGGCACAATCTCAAAGTGCCATTTTTCATTTTTCAACCGGGGCGCCCCGGCTGAAATTAGTCCCTAACCAAAGTCAGTCAATTAACTCATGCCCACATACTGCACATATCGATATCAAATATTTTTAACTTCGTTGTATACGTTGATATTGGTGCACATCCATCAGTTAAACATTGACCCAATGTATTTATTTCAGTGGCTAAAATCCCGATTCAGTTAATTAACACATATATCGATATGTAATGTTTTAATGAAATTGTTGTTTTTTAAAAAAGCGATCACGGGTGTGGTATCCGAAAGCAGGCCGTAAGTGTCGAAAAATAGTCAGAAAAATTCGAGTCAATACTGTATCACATTACGTAAATGACATAAAAATATATAAAATTTTTTGCATCATCGAAATTTCCAAATGCAGGGTCGACTTCGTATTATGACGGGAACAATGATATTACTGTATTCAAAATCACATGTATGATCAGAGATTACGATTAAAAAATGCACGCGTGACCTGTTGTACGACAATCTGATTGTTTGTAAAAACTATAAAATGGGTGAATGTACGACTATTTCTTACTAAATATGTGAATATGTCTACTTCTACCGGAAAAACAATTTCACTTCCTACAATCAATAAAGTTGAAGGATGTAAGACAACTGAGGCTCTGATAGAATTTTTACGCGACCAAGATATAGGACTTGAAGATCATCATTTCAAAATTATTCGTGAAGAAGAGATTGATGGTCCAGCAATCCTTGAATTAAATGCGGACAAACTCATGAAAGCTGGGTTTAAGATGGGACCAGCTAATAAGATTGAGCGATGGATTAGAAATATTAAGAACGAAGAGCAGGGTAAGTAGTACCACGACTGCATTCGAATATTCCAAACCTATACTGCTTTCTCCGCAATAATTTCATTTATAAACTTGTGCCTCATACACTTATTCCTGTTATATAGAGATTTATTATACAGAGAAAAAATTTCAAGGTTTGGTGCTTACTCACTAAAGGCGTTATATTCTTGTGCTGAAGAAATGCGGAAATGATTAACTATACCTTTATTTTTTCATGGTATTATTCCCACAGCTGATTCTGGTGTGGTCGAATTTTGGAAAAAACTTCTTGACGCAAGAATAATCTTCCCGATACCACAAGATATGAAGAGGGT